ACTCTTCAGGACCAGACCAGTAAAAACAGTGCCAACCTGTCCCAAGCTGGTATGAATAAATCTGAACTCTGTAGAAATGAGAGTTACCCACCTAACCAAGGTCACCAAATGAACTTCTCTGTAGAGCACTCATTTAAGAATACATACAAAATATCCTAAATGGGATTTTACATGTGTATCATTTAAAAAATGATAATCTGAGCAATTGCTTAAAATTTAGAGCAAAAAATAAAATTCCTTTAGGGAGGTGTCCTTACCCAGTCAGTGTCCACACATGGGAATCCTGAGGCAGAGGATGAACCAGTTGCAGAAAGGCAGAGAGAGGGCTGAGGCTGTGGCTCAGCGGTAGAGTGCCTGCCTAGCACATGCGAGGCACTGGGTTTGATCCTCAGCACCACATAAAAATAAAAACAAATGAAAGTAAAGGTATTGTGTCCAACTACAACTAAAAAAGTATTAAAAGAAAAGAAAGAAAGGCAGAAAGGTTCTTGGTTTTATTATCTCTGCGTTCTCCTCAGAGAGTGAACTTCCTTGAAGTCTTCACTGGGAACTTTCATCCCTAGTTCTAGGTGTCACTGCTTTCAGATATTCAATCCTTTGAGCCTATATTATGTTTGTTGTTAGAAATAAAATAAAGGTGATTAAGAAATGAAGGGAATTCTTAGGGGTGATTGGGTTCTGCTGAGAAATGGTGTCCTCTCGGAAAACTAAGTTATTTCACACGGGAAGTTGGAAGCCCCACCAGAGGCCCAGCAGTCTTGATTTCATCACGGGGACAAGGGCTCTCTTTCCTTTCACCTTTCCTGGCTCAGACACTAGAAGGCCTCTTTGTGAGGGTAAAGAGCTCTTCTGCTTAGCAAACCACTCTCTCTTAGCAAACAAAACGTCTCTTCTGGAATGGCATATACCCTCTCAAAAAGCCATCCAACTGAAAAGCTGAGAATGGTATCTTGTGGCCCTTTAGAGGAAGGCTGTGGGTGCCCACTCACTGTCTGTTTGTAGGGAGAGATTCTTTGCTGTCCAGATTCCGAACATGCAAGGCACTGAAGAATCAGGGCCAAGGGATCAGCAAAGACAACAACGATTTAAAAGTGTACTGTCTCTGGTTTGCTGTTTTGAATTGAGTACTTCAGAGACAGTGTGACATTTTTTGATGCCACAGTGTGGATAACAGGTCTGTGGTTTTCACTCTTTAACAATCTCTGAGACACCAAGAGTTTACAATATATTAAAAAGAACAGATTTCTTTTCAGATGAAATGTTTGAAGCGATGCTATTAATAATGCTGTGTATAACAGCTGCTTTCATTTATTCACAAACACTGCACAAACATCTTACTTGTCAAAAGGAAAGGATTTTCTCTTACTATAAAAAGATAATTAATTCAGGCTGGATACACTTAATGGTGCATTTGCCATCTGGGCAGAACAAACAAAACACTAGAATAGAATTGTGCGAAGGAAAAATATCAAAATAGGGAACAAAAATATATACTTAAACTTTATTTTGATTTCTGGAATAACAAATAATTTCCCCTCCTGAGTATTACACTCATGCTTATTTAAAAAGAAATATAAAAGGCAGGACGGTGTAGAAAAATACACAGCTGAACTTGGGCACAATTTCAGGTCATTTCTTTCTTTTTTACTGTATACATCAGTGACAAAAGTAAACAATTTCTGAGGCTCCATACATCTTCTCCTCTATGCCCGAGATAGGTAGACAATCTTACTGAATAAAATAACATAGATAAAAGTGTTTTGTGAACTTTAAAGAATCACAAATGACTATCGGCCGGGTCCTTAGAGAGAAGAACCCACAGACATGTTGGGGGCTTTGACTTAATAGTTGAACTCAGGAATCTGAGCTTGTCTGATAACCACGATCTGGAAAACCTTTGAAAACACTGGTGCTTGTCCTGCAGGACTGTCACCAGGCTGACCCTCTCACTTCACCCTCAGAAGGCCAGCTGTCTCTTCTTCAGAAACTCAGCTTCCTGCTTATGCTCTCCATGAAACCACCCACTTTGTCCCTTCTGAGCCTCCGCAAGGCCAAACTCTGATTATATGCAGTGTCATTGTGTTTCTAGAACTTTCTCTGCCTGGCCACATCTTGGCTCTGTCCAGCTCCCTCTTTAACTTAGCAGAACACTGTCCTCATGCTCTTGAGCCTTCTCCTCTACCCTTTCTCCTGATGAGAAGAATTGGCTTCCCTTATAGCAAACCGTTCTCAGTGAAGAGTGATGTAAAAAGTCCTTCTTTCAGGAAGTCTTCCCTGTGGCAAAATCTGGAGCACAGACCAATTCTGAAGGTCCCCAGAACCTCACAAATTAACCCTGACGATTCTCACGTCCAGTGTGCCGTGAACACTAGGGTGGATGGAGAACGAGTCATTACTTGTGAAGTTGCTTTCCATTATTAAATTTATTAAATGACTGCAGTGATGGGACTCGTGTGAGATGACGCTCTTAGACATGATTTAATGAAGCTGAGATTAAGTGGTGAGATTTTTTTACTCTTCAATTCTTCCCTTGACAGTAGAAAATTCTGCCTCCATTTTTTTTTTCTATGCATGTCAGAATAAGAGTCCTATTTGTTTGGGGATGTGTAGCAGAGCCTGTGACACCAGTAGATACTGAGCTTGCCAGATGTCCCTTTCAATCCTTTCTCCTGCCCTGGACATTCTAGACTTCCTTTCATAGAACAGGCAGCAACCCAGCAAGCACTCAGCTGGTTAGGTTGATAACGTGACTTTCCTGATGAAATGGAGAAGCCATGGGGGCTTTTTCACAGCTATAACTGTATCCCTAGCAAAAACTTTCCATGTAGTAGGCTTTCAATATACAAGGTTCCAAAGTGATTGAGAGTGAATTCCTTAACTAAGGAAGAACATTGATAAAATAATGATGATGAAGACGAGCAACTTGCAGGCTGACCCCAGATTCCCTGATGATAATATTCTGACAGGGTTGACACTGTTTACAAAAACCAAATGTACAAATTTCATTTCTGCTTCTGAGTAGCCATTTCTTCTCCAGTACCTTTGAAGCTTATTTTAAAATTCAGTGCTGAAGAAGTAAAATGTAAGATATAAGCATGGCTCTTTATTAATGATTGGTTAATTTTTCTCCTCTGTTGCACCAGAGAATGCAGTTATGATTAGGGGACTTCTTTAGGCAGTAAGTGTATCTTGCATAATAAATTCCCTAGTGAGGACCCAGTTGTCAAGAGACACATTCAGAAACACTGAACCAAATCTCTATGGAAATGGGGTTTCCTTTGGGCCAAAGATTTACATATGGCATGCATTGTTAATCATAACTCACCTGTGTGTGCAGAGAGCTATGCTAAGCCTGATATAACAGGAATAATAAATAATGCATTCTCTAATATTTCTGTGTAGGGTAGGGGCAGAGAGGAGGGAACAATCACATTATTTGATTTTATATTGTATATTTTGGTTTGATATTATGAATTATTGAATCTGATGACCATAAACAGTAACACATAAAAATAACAGTAACACATGAAAACATACAAGCTCATTTTTTCAACTACATCATCATCATCATCAGCAGCAGCAGCAGCAGCAAAACAATCCCCTTGATTTACTTTTTAAGACAAAGAATAAGATTATATACAAGTAATTGGGTTTTACAGATTCTCCTGACTCCCTAATTATGCACTGGTTCTGCTACATTTCCACGTCCCCTGCCTTCTAGTCCTTTCTGTTTATTGCCAGGGAGAGTGTAGAGATGATTTTTTTCTCATATATCTTTTCTTTGCCTGCAATTAAGAAAATGCAAGAACATAATTCATCAATGTGACTTAGAACTGTAAATCTAATTTTTATTAGGCTTTACCTTTACTATTTGAGGTTCGATATATGATTTTGTACTTTCTTTATTATATACAGTGTGTGGCAAATATTTTCAGCATTTAGGGCAGTGGGCCAGTAAACATAAGATCCTCTAGGCAAATGACACTGGGCAGGTAAATCAGGGTGGAGATCCAAAAAGGGAAGTTTTTAAAATAAGATTGATTTTTTTAAGAGCACAAAGCATGAAAAATAAAATTTAGACTGTTGTAGATGATTGCTTTGTTTCTTATGCTAAGAGGGTTTTAAATAAATTGCAAACTTATGCCCTGAGTTTCCTAAGATCGATGGAATTGATCCAGACTAAGTAGCTAATTTGAGAATAATTCTAATTTTGAGCACTGGAAAATTCCAAATTTTATATCCACTGTATGTATATATGTCTAAAATGGCCACTATAAAATATTATGGGAATACAACTGGTATTACAGGTTTTCCTTCCCCCATCCCAATGAACTTCAGGTGGAGGACTAACCTTTATCTAAGGATTAGATTGGAAACTTAGAATTAAAAATGGTATTTTTTTTTTTAATTTTTAATACTTTGCACCAATATAAACACTAGAGAACTTGCTAATTTTACATAGTAAAATGCAAAGAAATTATAATAAAGTGTCAACAGAAAATTACAAACCATTATTTTCTGTTCAATAACTTTGACTCTTAAAAATCAGCAGTTTTTTATTTTACAACATAAAATGCCTCTACTTGGGAAAGCATGAATATAAATGTTGTTGAAACCGTCAGTTTTCTGTTCACTGTTCTGCCTTTCAGTGAAGGTGTGTTTATTACCACTACCACCTAAGATTTACTGGTACACACTGTACACCAGGCATTGCAATGTCTTTCTTTAATAACAAGTGCTGTATATATCTATAACTAAATTACAGCATAAAGCACAGGGTGCCCATATAGTTCCTCTTTTGTTGGTAGCCAGTTCCTTCTCTGGGTGCTACAGTGACTGGAGAAGTAAATGACAGCCAGTAGTCGGTGGTTCCATACATGCACACCAGCCCAGCTATGGCATTGGTCAGGCCCCGCCATGCTATATAATTAGACTATACCCTTTAAACAAACGCTGCCCCCCAACCCCGTTTTCCTATAGGAGGTAAAATATCAGTGCAATTTCAATTGATGAAAAGTACACAATTTTATTCACAATTTTACATTATGTTACAAATATGTACAATTTCAACAATAAATTAAAAATAAATGAGGAAAATAAGTCTGAGAAAAGTGCATAGTTAACTTTGTCACTGACATTTTCCTGCCTTCATTTCTAGGAGTTCACATGATCCAAGATCCTGATCATCTTCTTGCTGGAACATCTTGTTTTGGCAGCACATTTGAAATGCAGAGTGTTTTGTTGCTTCTAAGCATCGGGGAAGATGTTTGTTAATAACAGAAACACTGAAGAGGATCAATTGCAATCAAGGAGGGTTGATGAACATTTGTACAATATGTTTAAAACTCTCCAAAAATTCTGTAATATTTTTTTCCTCCAGTTCTTCACATACTTTGCATCCAGATTCTGTTATATTCTGCCAAATAAAAAGGAAGAATTACATTGGTGAGTCTAATATACTTCTTTCTTGGAATATTACATTATCTAAACTATATGGTGAGGTCTTGAGACATGAGAGCTTTGACAAATTAATATCATAGAAAGAAGAACTATGAGAAAAGAGAATTGGGACTTTTATGATATAGCTTATTTTTCCTATAATGGATTAAGGTCATTGAAAAAAGTAAGCCATGCCTATCAGACTTCCTGCTTAGAGTGCTTCCACGGTTTCTCGTCATCTCCTCCTAGCATGTTATAGGGTCCTTTGCCTCCCTGCATCCTGCATGAGCCCTCCAAGAGCTGTTCCTATTCCTGTCACCTTTCCCCACTGCTTCAAATGTTATGCTCTGAGAACATCAAGTGAGCTCCATTACTCCTCCCCAGGCACACAGCATGCTATTGAAGGCCTCTCTGCTTCTGTTTTTCTGTTAATTTCTTCCTATTTTAGCTACTGCCATGTACATCTAAGAATATTCAACTGTTGTCTCCTTTAGGAAGGTTTTTCTGAATCCCTGAGCTCCCTTAGGGCTCTTCTCCCTGTCCTGTCTCTCAGAACTCCTCGTTTAGACCTCTCTCATATCCACTTCCCATTTTACATTCACTTGATGAAGATTTACCCCTTTTACACTACTAGACTCTAAGCTCTCCCAGGAGGGCAAGGTCATTCATTTCTGCTTCTCCAGCATTAAGCATAGGACCTGGTACACAAAAATCACTCAATCCTTATTGGTGGCATTAATCCACGTAGGCAAATACTACAAACTCTTGTAATTCCAGCACACTATCATCAATAACCAGAATATTCCAAATGTAGCAATCCTGAACAAACATTTCAGAGGTCATCTGAACCAACCATGAAGGCTATGCCAGCAAAAATTAGAAGTAGATTTTATAATTAGGCACTTGGAATTCAGATTCACCAATATTTGTCAAGCACATACCATATGCTAAGTACTGTCAGATTATATATACTACTGTCCTATTTGATCTTGAAAATAATCATCAGAGAGGAAGGCGAAGATATTAAGTGATCCAGCTCCATTGACATATTCAATTGAAATTCTCCACATCCAGGTCTTTCGATTGTGCAGACCTGCCCCCTTGAACTACTACACACATTCCACACCATGTCCTAAGGGAGCTGACTGTCCACAAACACTTTAAATGGCTCCACATTGATACTGTCATGGGTTATCTCTTGTATGATTCACTCTCTCCACTGATAAGATGGTGGTAACATCTTAAGTGTTAAGCAGCCATAACTGTGTTTGCAAACGTATTGGCTATTGAGTACATGTGAGCCGTTATTCTGAAAATTGGCATAGAACACTGAGAAAAACGCCTTACCCTTTGAAGCTGACATTCTGAGGGGAAAGAAATGGACACTATTCATTAAGTAAAGTGCATGATATGTCAGGAAGTGGGACGTACACAGGAGGGGAAGGAGACTGCTAAAAGGGGGAAGAGCTTGCATTGAAAATAGGTGACATTTAAGCCAAAGACCTAAAGTAGCCTGGCATTTTTAGGGAAAAGTCAAGGTCTCCAGCCACGCTCCCTCTGAATCACTATTCTTTCAATTGCCTCTGCCTGAACATACTTCCCCAGACAACCTGAAGGCTCATTCCTTCCCATCGTTGTCACAGGTCATCTTAGGGAAAACTTATCTAAGCCTACAGCCTTTACCTGTTCCCTTTACCTGCTTTCTTTATTGCCACTGGACTTAATGAATAACTGACTTTTTACTCATTTGCTTCCTGATTGGTTGACTTCTATTTCCTCCCTCCTTAAGAGCAGGGGTCATGGGTGTTTTTTCAGACTGTATCCTGAAGGTCAAAATGAATTTATTAAATGGCCTAATTTGACAACACCCTCTCTGTTTCTGTCATTTTGCCTTTGCCACAAGTGTTCTGCCATGAAAGCCATGATTCTTTGTGCTTTAGGACTCTGCATGGCTGGTTTCCCCATCTACCATGGCTCCATAGCATCAGTTCTCTTAGAACCCTCTATTGCTTATGTTGCCTGGCATGTCCTAAACTGTACTCCAGTCATTAATCATTAATTATGATTATCCTTTTCCAGCATAAGGAGACAGACTCTGCTTGCTTAGAATTCTGGCTTCCCATTTTACTAGCTACACGAATTGGAGCAAATGATTTAAGCTCCAATACTCCAATTTCTTCACCTTTCAACTAGAAATGAGGTTCACTGGATTTTAAAAAAGATATAAGGATAATAATATCACAGATTTATTTTGAGGATTAAATGAATATCAGTTTAAAGCTTTAAGAACAGTGTCAGGAAGTGGGACTGAGTACACAGTAAAACCCCAATGTGAGTTACTGTTACTGATGTTGAACATGTGATTATGTAATTAGATTAATGCTTACTTAAAGCACCTGTTTGGTTCACCACTGTGACTGCAGCACTGAAGCACACTGCCTGGCATTATTTAGCAAATGTCTATTTATCAAATCAGTCAATGAACAGTTGAGGACCATGTGTATATGCCAGCTATGGTGCCACTTTTGGATGCCACTCCAATAGAAATGAATTCTTTCTCCTGAGCACTGCTGAGAAAGACCTGCTTGTCTACTAATAACTTCTTGCAATCAAGCCAAAAACATCAGATGTAGCGCTGTAAAACTATTGGATAACTCACCCCATTAGAAGATAAACTAGTGTTTGCTAGGAGGATCAGGTTTTTTACTGTTTCCTCTATGTCTCCATCTCTGGACTCATGTGAAATGACTTCTAGCTCCAGGAGAAAGCAGTTCATCGCTGTTACTTTGCAACGGGGCTAGAAGTAAGAGTTACAAAGAGACATTTTGAAAAAAAAATTGCATTATTCATTTTTACATTGATGTCATTTTGATTATATAAAAAATCAAGCCAAATATTTTATAAAGACATATGATACTCATAAAAGATTTTACATAGGAAGCAGCTTAATTTTTTTTTCTTTTTGGCTTTGAAATCAAAACCAAACCAACCAATCACAAATAAGAAAGATGGTGCTATTATGCAGGAGAAAGAACTTAATACCAGAAAACATGAATGTACTCAGCACATTTCCCTTGTGGAAAGCGTGATAACACTGGCCCTAGACTTTCTAAACCTCAGTACAGATAGTCAGTGAGAATTTTGGAAACAGACATATGTTAACATTTTAAATAGTGGTAGCTGCTAATCACACTATTCCTAAAATTTCCCAAGTTTTAGAGGCAGAAGGGACTCTAAGAAATATAAATATAAAGCAGGAATAGTGTTGATTCAAAAGTTGGCCAAATCATAAAGGGATCTCAAAGTATACTTTCCACGACAAAAACCTAAACTTAAAAGAACTTTTAAGGTTCTTAAAGGTACCCAATGCCTGGTACAATATCTATATCCCTGCAAGCGCTTATTAAATGCTCACTAAATGGATGAATAAATGGACACCCCATGTGCCCACCCCTCCAGTATCCTTACCTCCCACTGCAGCTGCTCATGATTGAAAGGCAGACCCTATTACCATATAAACAATAATAAAACTGAGGTCCAGAAATGTTAAGTGACTTCTGAAGTAACACAGGTAAGAAGTGGTTGAGTCAGTTTAAATCTAAATTTCAATTTCCCCACAGCCCACGAGTTGCAAGGTTTTCTTCTTGCAAAAAAGTAACCCCAGGATGCTGAGTGTTGGTGGTTCTCTGACTGATTTCTGCTTAGAAAAAAAAATGCAAAGAAAAACAGAAGCCAGGGGAGGGAGACAGGAAACAATTTCCATGTTCAGCAGCACTACCCAAGTGTTTGATGGGCATCTGCTTTTTCTGTTTTTTAGCTACAGATTCTTTTCAATGCACATGAAATGTTAGTGGGGGAAAAGATTATTTCAGCGAATTTCTAATTGAAGAATAACAGAGAGGACACTGTTTTGAACACATACAGCACGAGTGTGTTTTTTCACAAAGTGAAATTGAGAACTCATTTCTTGGTTTTAGTGATAATCCGGGGAGAAAGACTAACAGCAAAACCAAAAACCTACAAGCCCCAGGCAATGTCGGTATATTAATGAAACCAATTCATCATTTTTGAATTCTGGTAAGTTTTATGAACTATGTGTATATTCCCTCATACAGAGAACTTAATCAGAGTGCTTTTCTGACATATGTAAAGATCCATGCAAAATACGGAACACGAATGCTCCTAAGCAGTTTGTACAAAATGTGATTTGAGATGATGGTAAATGACAGCCTAGAAATAACTGATGTAGGGATACTTTTAAATTGAATCAGTTAACCTGACTTTAGCATCATGATTTGACCACATCACAAAAGCATAGGATATATTATGTTTGACATTGATGGAAAAGGCTTTTGTGTATGTGTGTGTGTGTATTTTGATTTGGCACCATTATAAAAACAGTATTTATGTAGCTCTTTGTCCCCAAGCCCCACAACCTCAACAATCACTTATAAAATTTGCAGATGTTAAGGACATAGCATATGTTATAAACACACATCAAAGTTATATTTAAAAGCTATACACACTTCAATTTTGAAAATATGCTTCTTAGATATTTGAAAACTGAAAAGAAAAGCAATTTTGAAAAAGAAAAGAACTACTTACATGGACATCACTCTCTGTATATAAAGTAGCATCCATATGTAAAGACTGAAAAAAAAACAAAATCACATAACATGTAAAACTTTGCACTGATTCAGATATCATGAGAGCAATTTACTGAAAACAGTAAATTAAGCCATTTAAATCATTTTTATAACTTTGGCATAATTTTAGATTCCTATGCAATTTTGAGAGAAAACAGAGGGATCCTGTGTACCCTTCACCAAGTTTCCCCCAATGGCAATATCTTGCAGAACCATAGTACAATATTTCAACCAGGGAATTGATAATGACATAATCTACCTTCGTTTTTCAACTTTACCAGTTTTATGAACAATAATGTGTGTGCATACATGTGAGTGAAGTTCTATGTGATTCTGTCTCATAGGTTCACATAACCATACCATAGTTAAGATACAAAACTATCACCATTAACCCAAAGATCTTCCTGCTATTCTTTAATAGTCAAACCCTTCTTCCTTCCCACATATCATTATTCAACCCACTACAGTATGATATGTTTTCTTCTATTCTGTAATTTAAGGCTTCCTATGTCATTATACTTGAAGAAGCTTCTTATAGATAGCATAGCTAGCCTGTGTTTTCATATCAACTCTGCCTTTACTTGGTGGAACCTCTCCTCTTCTTCTATGAAGCCAATATCAGGAATGCTGGATTTTTGTTGTTGTTGTTGTTGTTATTGTCCCCAAGGTCCCTGAGCCTCCCTGCCTCCTTTTCTCTCTGGTATTCTATCTTCAGGTTAACTGTCTTCCTTTTGTCATAACCATTCTGCTAATGAGCCTTTCTAGTTTGTTCTGTGGTTCAGCTATCCCAGTTTTTAGTTTTATAATTTCCAACTGGTTCCTTTTATATTTTCTAGTTATTTGCTAAGGCTTTCTATTATTTTTATTTGTTTCAAGGATATTTGTAGCTGCTTTTTGAAGCACGTTTAAAATGGCTGCTTTGAATCCATGTTAGATAATTCCAACATCTGGTCCAACTTGATTGTGATGTTTCTCTTCTTGGTACAGTGATTTTCATTGGTATTGTGGCATTGTGACTATTATGTTAAGAGACCCTGGTCCTGTTTAAATCTATTTTAACATGCAGTCAGCTTCTTCTGATTTGGCAAATTCTGACCTATTTCTGTATGTTGTGATTCCAATGGCAGCTAAGTTTTCAGGATCTTTTTGGTGTCACCTGCTGCAGTAGGGGGAACTTTTCTTGGCCAGGCTGCCTGGTTTCTTAGGCAGAAGATGGGATACCCGCAGCCCCTGGGATAAAGTGTACCACTTCAGACTGTTGTTTTGTGTGGGGCCCCTGCTCATCATAACTGAACTGATTCTGGTGGTATTTCTAGGTGGAAGAAGGGGGTCTTTAGTCTACAGACAAGACATCCTTCCTTGAAGTCAGGTCCACCCTGTGTTCCCTTGCAGGTGGCTACCAAGATACCTGGCAGTCTGACCTGTGAAAATTGGAACTTTTCAGGTAGACCACTTATAAATTAAATTTTAAAGATAACCAGAACCTAAAAAAAAAAACTATTGAAAAACATGTATTTTCAGACTCTAAAATGCTAATAAATTTACACAAAAAATATTATTCTGTAATGTGACATTTTTCATTAAGGTTGATAGAAAAATATACGGAGAAAAAATACACCATAGCAATTATACCAGCTATTTATGGAAAATAAATGAGTACTCACTTGAATAAGATTTTCAATTTTTTGCAAATCCTTTCTTACATCTTCCCAGTTAGCCTCTGTTTTAGGAATACCTGCACTAATACAGCTGGGGGGGGGGGTGGGTGGAAACAAAGCAGAGCATTTGAATGATATATTACTGTCTTACTATAAGCAACAGAGCAATCAAAATGTTTTTATTCTGACCAGTGTGAAGGTCAGTGTTATCCCAGTCTCTGTGCATTCAATAGTCTTGTAGATGAACTTAAGCACTGAATACAGAGTGCACCTTGACACTTTAGGTCAATTCCAGGACTGGCCAACCTCAAGGATTACCAAAAAGTCAAATTAATGAAGCAGAAACAATGCAAGATGTATGGCTATGCTCAATAACTGTTCTTGAATGAGTTACTAGTTTTCTTTAGGTAGAGGCTCCATGAGCCTACTATGCAGATATTAAAACAGGCAACAATCATTTTCATGTAACAGCTGTATCAGTAAATGTTCTTTCCAGTATGTTCAGTTCCATGGTGCTCACACTATTCTTATGCTTGTAGCAGTTTCCTTCATACACTTTGCAAACTTTAGCCTGATCTGGGCTAAATGATTATATTCTTAGTAACTTTGGTAAAATTTGAAATTTAATATCCAGATGAAAGATACTGACCATGTAACTGTGGAATAATTGCTAGAGTTTTGGGAAAACAGTCCTTTTGGATGGATCTTGTACAGAAGCATGATAATCAAGGCTAATCTAGCTTATGAGGAACATTTACCTGAACAAACCTATGGTTCCCCATACTATGAAGGTATTAGTGGAGGAAAAGTGAACTGGGATAAGATTAGACAATAATAAATTTGGTGCTGGTGACCAACTGGGTGCAGTTGGAAATCAAAGGTGAGGGGAAAATACTTATTTGGAATATTAGGAGAATGGAGAAATGCACAGTTGGCTGATCACCCAGCCTCCTCTGAATTGCTATAATCTAGCCCATTATACTACAAATTCTTCGTTCCTAGAGATAAGAGCAAACTGACCATTTTTCTGGGGACAAGTTTCATGGGGAAGACATTTAAGGACAATACTCATAGCCTTTGATATGCTGATTATGATATCTAAAGGTAAAATTACCCCAAAATGAAGACACGAATGCCAGCCTCAGTTAAAAAATGAGTATTTAGAAGTAAACACACATAGCACTGGATGGAAGTGATTCTCAAATGTGGTTTCTGAAAAATATAATCATAGACAGATATTAAAATATTTTTAGTTGAAAAGTTAAATGTAAAATAATATTTTATATTTCTAGATTCAAAAATGTAAAATTATCATTTCACAATTAATATTTTGTATCAAATCATGAAACTAGAATTTATTTTTTTCTTTATCCCCCACCTCCAAATCTATCTGTATGCTCAAAATTCTTTTTTTCTAAACATTTATTTTTTTAGTTATACGTAGACACAATATCTTTATTTTATTTTTATGTGGGTGAGTGCTATTCCTCTCTGCCACAATCCCAGCCCCTCAAAATTCTTTAATAAGTATTTCTCTGGATGCACGTTTCTGATAATCATTTAACAAAGTTTACATATTTAGTACTATACTTATATACTAATGTCACTTAATTTTTTTCTATTATCTTTCAAATCCTGTCATCCTTCTCTTCTTTTTAATAGACCAACATATTTTATGCAGCACAGATTAATAACGTGCACTGATAACAGGTACACCAGTTATATATTAGTTTCATGCCACAATTTGAAAATTAATAACGTATTAACATGTGATCACTTGGAAAAAACACATATGAATGGAATCAAATAAAGATGCTTTATTCTATTCTGAGAGCCTCAGTATAATAATTTTTCTCGGTGATTTAGGAAAATCATTTATCTCAGACATTCCCAAAGTTTCAATACTTTTGCCTACTCTTTGTGTTTTCAAAGCTTTTATAGTTCTGTGCTTCATTTGGTCTCCACAGAAGAGATGAATTATTCTCAGACCTTGCCCTCAAAGACTGCACAATTTACTGCATAGACAGACATTTTAAGAACAAAATAGAGTGGAATGAGTGAAATAATGCATTTACAGTGACACGAAGGGCCTTGCAAAATTGATAATCTTGTTTTGAAAACTCCATTTAATATATTTTCAAAATAAAGACAATCCTAGGTGAACAGATATCTGTGACACCCCAAGGTCTTTAGCAACTAATCGTATAGCTTGTTATGAAGTGTCTGAGATTCAAATGACCTTTGAAAGAAAAGTGCATATGCTATTTTCCTCCTTTTTTTTTCTTACCGAAATTCTCATTACTCAATGCCAGAGTAAGTCCTCAGGTATTGAAGAAGAGCCTGCTATGGTAATGGGTTTCCAGCAGCCATCCATCCAGAATACCTCCTGTAATACAATTCCAGGTGAAGGACAATCCATTAAAGTCACAAGGAGACGTTTTTGGAAAGAAAGAGAAGGAATTGATGTTTACTTAGCACCTACTTTTTAAAATGAAATTCCCTGCTATATGCATCACATTTAATCCTCATGAAAGTCCTGTCGGGTAAGGTAAGCAGTTTGGGTAAGCTGCCCCAGCCCACATCCTGTATTGTGACAGCCAGGATATGAGACCTGGTTTGTCTGATCATAAAGAGCCAAACATTTTTATTATATTGTGTTCCTGAACTGAAAATTTCTGAAATAACATTAGTGAAAAGTAGATGCATGTAAATTCTTAGATTTGTATGACTACTCTTTGACAATCCAATTTCCAATAGCAGTAGCTACTTCTATAGACATTGAACAGATGTGTTCAGTCATTTGAGAATTTCTTAAGTATAAAGTTCTACTTTTTCTAATTTAAGGTATGGGAAGAATGCAAGAATCAAAATATATTCACCTCCATTTTATTAAAATATTTAAAATTAAAAAATAATTCATTGTTGTCCTATAGAAATAATATATAAAAATAATACAAATTTATTGGCCTCATCCACAAAAATATCAAAATCTGCCATATCCCCTGAGATAAGTATTTACTACAACTATTTCATAAGGTCAAACAGTTAAATTCTTACATTTTTAAGATATTTCCAAAACATAAAATGATTGCTTTAAAATCAATAATGTACTAGTTTAAAAGGAAAAACTACCATTTATCAAGGTATTAAACAAGATACTACAAGGATTTGTTTGAGGAATATTTTCCTCAAGAATGTATTAAACCTAATTTTCCTGTACATCTGACCTAACCGGCCCATTGATCGATTTATTTAAAACAATAAAATTGCTGTTCTTATTGTTCTCATTTCATAATCATACTCTGTCTACATTATTTCAGAGTTCAACATTTCTTACATCATTTTCACAATTATTTTTGTAATTTCATCCAAATCATCTTAAACTCTCTACATTTTTTATAGTATCCCAAATTCTACATTTAAAAAAAATACTATTTATTGTCTTGGGATTGAATAATGAATGCTAAGAGTGATGTAATGTTTAGTAAGGCCTTAGGAAGCTACTTTAATAGACAATGAGGCTTTCTTTCCCTCCTGGATTTCTGTAGCAGTGACCCCCTCTGCCCTGTCTGGCTACCTCCTGCTGGCATGAAGAAAAGAAGACTAAGTGCTTTAGCCAGAATGTTCCACAGTTGCAAGGGGTTCTCAAGCATGACGATGGAGTGCGGTAGGAATGTCCTCAGAAGCTTCTAACAACATAACCAGAACAGAAAACCATGTAGCTGAAAAAGGAAAACATGTTATGGCTTTGTCTGGCATCTGGCAAAAGGATGTAAGTATCTTTGTGGTTTGAAACAGCAAACCTGTCTTTCACCAGCAGCTTTGGAGGTATTCAACTTGCCACATACTATCATTCTATGGAGCACCAATTCTCCTAAGAACATATGTGTTTGTGAGTGGATGTAATCCCAGGGGGTTAAAAAAACAAAACAACATTTTTTTTTCTTTTACTAAAATTTTTATCTATTTATATTTTAAATTGTTCTAATTAGCTACATATGACAGTAGACAGTAGAATGCATTTTGACACATTGTACACAAAGGGAGCACAACTTCTCCTTCCTCTGACCGAACATGTTGTAGAGTCACACAGGTAGTGGAATCATACAGGTATCTAGGGTAATAAGGTCCGATCCATTCTACCATCCTTCCCCACACTCCCTCCCCTCCCCTCTGCACAATCCAGAGTTCCTTCATTCTTCCCCACTCCATCCCCATTATGGATTAACATCTGGTTATCAGAGAAAACATTTGGCCTTTGGTTTTTAGGGGATTGGCTTAATTTGCTTAGCATGATTTTTCTCCAGCTCCATTCATTTACCTGCAAATGCCATAATTTCATTTTTCTTTAAGGCTGATTAATATTCCATTGTGTATATGTATCACAGTTTCTTTATCCATTCATCTGTTGAAGGGCATCTAGGTTAGTTCCATAGTTTTTGTGAATTAAGCAGCTCTAAACATTGATGTGGCTGCATCATTAAACTGAGGAGTGGAATAAGTAGGTCAAGTGGTGGTTACATACCAAGTTTTCTGAGAAATTTCCATACTGCTTGCACCAATTTGCAGTCCCACCAAAAATGTATGAGTGTACCCTCCCCGCCCCACCACCTGCATCGTTGTCAACACTTATTGTTGCTTGTATTCTTAGTAATTGCCGTTCTGACCAGAATGAGATGAAATCTTAGAGAAATGCAAATCAAAACTTTGCTAATTGCTATAGATAATGAACATTTTTTTCATGTTTGTTGATCAATTGTATATCTTCTGTGAAGTGTCTGTTCAGTTCCTTAGCCCATTTATTGACTGGGTTATTTGTTTTGTTTTGTTCTGGTTTTTTTTTGGTATTGTTTTTTGAGTTCTTCATATATTCTGGAGATTAGTGCTCTATCTGAGGTGCATGTGGTAAAGATTTTCACCCATTCTGTAGGCTCTCTCTTCATGTTATTGTTTCCTTTGCTGAAAAGAAGCTTTTCAGTTTGAGTTCATCCCGATAATTGATTCTTGATTTTACTTCTTGGGCTTTAGGAGTCTCCTTAAGGAAGTCAGGTCCTAAGCCAACATGGTGAGGATTTGGTACTTCTTCCTTTGTTAGGTGCAGAGTCTCTGTTCTAGTGCCTAAATCTTTGATCTACTTTGAGTTGATTTTTGTGCAAGGTGAGAGATAGAGGTTTAATTTCATTTTGCTTCATATGGATTTCTAGTTTCCAAGCACCATTTAGTGAAGAGGCTATCTTTTCTCCAATATATGCTTTTGGCACCTTTGTCTAGTATGAGATAACCATATTTATGTGGGTTTGTCTCTGTGTCTTCTTTTGTGTGCCATTGGTGTGCATGTCTATTTGGGGGCCAATACTATGCTGTTTTTGTTACTATAGCTCAGTAATATAGTTTAAGGTCTGGTACTGTGATGTCTCCTGCTTTACCCTTCTTGCTAAGAATTGCATAGGCTATTCTGGGTCTCTTATTTTTCCAAATGAATTCCATGATTGTTTTTTCTAGTTCTATAAAGAATGTCATTGGGCAAAACTATCATTGTTTTATAAAACAGAACATGGTAATCATTTTCAATAAAGAGCCAAATAATAAACACCTTAGGCGTTGCAAATGTTGTGGTCTTTCTCATTATTACTTAATAAGACCACTACAGTGAAAACAGCCATAGACAACACATGAAAGAATGGGTTTGACTGTCTTCCAATACAACTTCCTGTGTCAATGGGTGATTGGGGCCTGGGATCTCCCAACCACCCACATTAGTAAAAAGTTCATTTGTTGATGATCCCTGAATCTTATGCATCCCTCCATCAGCCCTAATTTGAATATAGCTGAGAAAGTATATTTTTAAGTGTCATGAATTGTACTGGCATTTTTTTTTTACACTAATTGCTTCTTTCAAATAAGAGACTCCCTCAAACACATTCTAAGTACAATATTAAAACTAAAACATAAATAATTATAAACTATGTTACCAGGGACTACTGCTAAATTTTCAAAAATTAATTCATAAAATTAAAAGACCTGAAGTGGGTATTTAATTATTTTATAATGTTGCACAACATATTCAAGGGCCTTGCTATGGTCTGCACTGTCCCTCAAAGGTTCAGGAGTTGGAAGCTCGGTCCTCTATGTGACAGTACCAACAAGTGGCTGAGTGTTTAAGAGGTAGGGACTGTGGGATGTGGTTAAGTTGCTGAAATTGTGCTTGTGGAAGGGGCTGATGTTCTCAAGGCCTCCAGCTGTTTCTGTGAGAGAGAGTTGTTATAAAAGAACAAGCTTGACTCATGAATCCCTTGGGCTGAAAAGATGCTTTTTAGTTTGAGTTTCAGTTAGTCTCACCATGTGATCTCTTCTTCTTTAGGGCACCCTGCAATTGTGATGCCACCTACTATGAGGCCCTTGGCAAATGTCAAACTAATGGGACTACCCAATCTAAAACTTCCAGCCTCTGAAACAGTGAGCTAAATAAACCTCTTTTCTTTAGTAGCATCCAGCTTCAGGTGTTTTGTTTTAGCAACAGAAACAGACTATTATAGGCCTATAAATCTCACAGTATTAACAAAACAACAAAAACAAATGACAAGTCAGAATGTTTCTTCTTTTAAAAAATAGTATTTCATACATAAGTGTATAGAATACCTAAAAGCATGCTAAGAGTAGCATATATTACATAATTTTGGATTTAACTACATTGGGCCCATTCTCACAACCACCAGCTTCTTAGCTGAGCTTGCTTCCCCATACCACAGGTGCCTTGGTCCCTGCAATGCTTTCCCAAGTAGATACTAACATCCCAAAATACTTTGTCTTTCTCCAACATTCATTTTGCCAATTTCAAATTCCAATCTGTTAAGTATTTGTGAAAAAAAGTAATGACTTTATAATTTCATGAGCTCTAAAAATTACAAAATCTGAAATCATACCTGCTACATTATATGATTACAAATCAACAATAATAATATAAATATACTGAATGTTGAATTACAGTAATTTCAAAAATACTGAGTCATCAATCTCTGCAATCTGTTAATTATTTCCTACTCTCCCTAACATCCATCCCTACATCTTTAAGTCAAGTTTAATCAGGGTACCATGTCAAGATAATGAAATATACACACTTTAAGCAAATAGTATGCAGAGTTCTAATAATCCATGTTTTCATGAAATCAGCACCACTACCATAATATGGACTGTATTGATAATCACAAAACATTCTCTGTGCAGTCTTTCCATCTTCAATCCCAAGTCAGTTACTGATTTAATCATGCATTTTCAAATAGCAACGTAGAAAGAAAATCATGGATAATGATATGGAAAAAGGAAGAAGTAGCAAGTCAGGCAATGGTTATTGTTTTATTTGGGTATTTGAAATATATTCATACTGAT